AGCTTCTCTCTCTCTCTCTCTCTCTCTCTCTCTCTCTCACACACACACAAGGCTCCACACCCCTCTCTCTAATCTCTCTCTAGCCTCCAAAAGATAGAAAACAATATTGTAATGAGAAAAGAGGGTCACGCCCCAAAACCCTAGGAGTTTAAGAAAGGGGCACACCCCATGCTTAGGCATTGAGGCCTACTCTTGCTCTTGTGATTGTTCCATTATTGTTCTCTGATTTGAAAGGGTTGATAGCCTAAGATTTCCCATATTTTGAAGATCTGGGATAGACATTGATCTCGTACGCCATCAGAGGAGGAGACGTCACGTGGGGTGTATAAATTCCAGTTCAGGTAATCTTCTTGCAATTTATTTTTTGTTTATGCAATTTGTGTTTCATGCTCCCAAGATAAAGTTTATGTAATTTTATTTGTGTCATAAAGAGTTGTTAAAATGGCAGCAAATGAGAATCCTTGGGATTCTTTGTGTTTTTTTGCTTCTCATAATGTATTTGGACATTTGTAAGTAATCCCAGCTGGTGAAAATAAAGTAAAGAATGAAAAATTTTAATCGGTATACACTTTTCCGGGATACATAGTCCAACTTTCATTGGTGTCAGAGCAAGGTTATCTTGCTGCCTTATTTTTGTTTTTGTTGTTCTTGGTGAGTTGTGGATCAGAAACATGAGTGCCAAAGGTTTTGTCGTCATATGGCAAACCTCCGAAAAAATTATTGGCATGATTCCTACGCCAAAAAGGCACTCTACAGACTAGGGTATTTTGTGTTGTTTTGGAGCACTAATATGAACCAGAGGATGAGGTATTTATCTAAGGCATACCCTAGTGATATTTTGTGTTTTTGAGAATAGTACCTTCCTGCAAAATTTTAGTGGGAGATCATGGGCGAATTGAGAGTTATAAACTCATCATTGAGGAGTGTTAGTTCTGATCCTGCAAAATCTATGAATTGTATGCTTCCACCAAGAAAATATTTTTATTTTTAAGAAATATCTGACTGTAACTCACCCAAATTGAGTCTACTTTCAAACAAAAATAATTTCATGGAGAAAACCCTTGTATAAAAGATAGTGTTATTTTATTGAAGGGTGGTCATAAGTTGTTTTCTGCAGCGAAAACCATTTCTAGGTAATGTGAATGTCATGATTTAGTATCCCCTCGTAACATATTGATTTCAGACCCACAATGAGTTTTTTATTTCCATTTTGAGTCTATTTTCTAACATATATTATTTGAGAGAGAAACTCTATGGGAATTTGGGAATTTAGGAATAAGGTTATTTTATTAGAGAAAGGTCATCCTGAATTTCTGCAGTCTGATGTGATTTATTGTAACGAGAATATCCTTATTTTTCACGCCTACTTAACAGAGTGATAAGAGGCCTGCAAAAAGACATTTGTTGCCATTTTGTGTCTACTTTGAAATAAAAAAAAGGGTTTGAAAGGGAAACAGAATGAGGGTAGAGAGAAAAAGGTGCCCAATTTTTAAACTAAATATTTGTGAACTTTATCAACTTCAAATTGGTATCATTATATTGTGGATCACAAAGAATTGCAAAAGCTCAAAAATAATAAAATTTTGATATTTCAATTACAAAAGATTAATCAGTATTCAAGGTTTAACATTAATTTGTGAGTAATTTTGGCCAGGGTGCCAATGCAGACATAACTACTAATTTGACCAATTAAAGGATCAGTTATATAATTGAAAACATAAGTGACCCTATGTACTGCCTCTATGATTCATCTTCATCATCAGAGCATTTTCCCAACTATTTGGAGAATTTGCCTCTATAATTAAAAATAATAATAGTTTAATTTAAATTTTCCTATTTAATAATATTTTCAAATATTATCTTAAATTTATAATTCAAAAGTTAATAGATTTAATTAATTATTTAATAATTTGACCACAAAAAAAAAAGAAATCTACACATTAAAAAGAAACGTTAATATTGACATGAACATGCAACTGCACATTATGTTCAGCAGAATAACCATTGCAATGGAAACACTTTGCAAGATCCTTTTATGAATTTTAGTATGACAAATTAGTTAACTTTGACAAAGTTTCAAAGCTTTTAGATGCCTGAAGTATGGGATGATCAGAAGAACCTCTATCATCAAAGACAAAGTGCCATATTCTATCAGTTAGAGAATTTCCTTGTTTCTTTTTTGGGTGGTGGTTACTATCAAGTAGGGAATGATGACCCAAGAAGATAGCTGATTATTACTGAGATGATAAAGTTAATTGGTCCATCATATGATTGGATACCTCAAGATCAATCATGAAATCAGAAGATATTTCTTGAAAACAAACAAGTCTCCAGTGAATCTCGACTCTTTTATAAATTTTTCCCTAATGCTTGAAATGTGCAAGTAACCGAGTTTTCTTGGCAATGATCAGGCTGACTCAGCCATGGACCAAGTAGATTTTTTAAACTAAGAAACATATGAACAAACGGAATGCATAAATGTATCATACACATACACAAGTAGAAACACATAAGATTCAAAATCATAACCTTGAGGTGGATACAAAGTGTTCAAGAAATATGGCAACATTAATATTTTTTATTTCATTGTATTAATGACAATGCATACACACAGCATAGAAAAGTGTATGAAGGTAGCATGCCTGTACAGAACAGCCATGCAGACATGTGCTTATGTTAAAAGACCATAACAAACTGAACTTCAACTTGCCCTCTCTAGACAAGTAAAAAGAGATATGTTTGTTTTTAAGGAGGAACAGACCTGTTATGGATGACAGGATGTCACTGCATTCAGCATTCCTGTCACATATGGACTCAAGTATTTGCACTCCCGTATTACTGCATAAAATACAAGCACGGAAGAATTAATAAGTGAGACAAACATCAGTAAAAATTGCCGCTAAGTGACTACACAAAAGTAAAAAAGCAAACCTCCGAAAATTAAGCTGATGGATGCCCATGGTGGTTAGCATCTGTTCCACAGAGTAATAACACCATTTATTCATCAGCTACTGTTTCTCACTTGCCTGAAGCATGTTATGTGGACACATATATACCTGATCAAGATGCAGGCTAACTGCTCTCAGAACAAATTGGGAACTGACATGATCCAAATAAGATATGGGGCATAGAAGAGCAGCTCCTGCAACCATTTCGACTACTTCTGACCGAGTAAATGCAGCCAGAGCCATAATGGTTCCCTATCATGAGAAACAAAATATATGAACAATATGAAGATTCAGGACCCCCATGGAATCATCAGATGTTGAATTTAGATATGTTGAGGTATAAGCTTGTGAAAAACCACCTGTGAATGCCCCACATAGAATATTTTTGAATTTGTCGCTGAATGTATAAAATTAATCATTTCAGCAAGATCATACAAAGCCAATTCCTCCCAACTCCAGTCCCAAAATTCCTGCAATAGATAACCAAGTGATGGTAAAAGCCCTTAGTACAGATTAGTTCCCTTTTTAAGTGCCAACCAGATGACCATAATAAAGAGAAAAGAGAATTTCGTCCGGAAAAGTAGAGTGGTAAAAAACATGCACACCTTGTCATTTTCAGAAAGAGAGTTGTGGCCATGGCTCCAACGTGTGCCACGTACATTCCCAACCCACACATCAAAACCGGAATCTGCAAGTATAAAACCCAGCGACTGTTTGACAGAATTCTCAAACCAAGTGTCTCCACCCTATCCATGCAATGATGCCATTTAAACAGGCAAGTCAGCATGCAAGATAGCAGGTCCCATATAAGAAAATAATAATAACAAAAAAGAATAGAAAATAATGATTATTAACAAAACATGCTCCAGGCAATAGCACTGTAGTATCTAATGATAAAACAATTGAAAATGTGAAAGTGAAATAGCATAAAATCTGGAAATTTAGCATAAATGGTCAAATTCAAAGTGTCCATCATAAAACTCACTCTCAGATTTTGCACATCTTTTTTCTTTCTATGTGAGCAACAAATGAACTAAAATAATAATGCAACATAGAACTCTTTGCCATCCCCGACCCCAACACTGAAAGGACCCTTTAAACTGCCTGCCCTACGAAAAGGTCATGAGGAACCTTCAATTGCAACCAACACTCCAAGAAAAGGACACACACTGGGAAAGGCAGGCAGCCATCGGCTCCATCATTTTTCTATTCAGTAACACATTGCCCCTTCCCAACTTCAACCCGATCCCAAGCCGGTCTTGCCGGTCCCAACCCCGGAGAAAAGAGGAAGGCTAGGTTACGTTATCAGCCTGCATAAACTTTTGCCACATCTACTTCGTGAATCCTGAGCAAAAAGATCAGCGGAACATGATTTGTGTAACCGACCCCAAATAGTTAATATAAGACTCGGATGATGATGATGATGAACATGTTGCCTCTACTGATACATAATATATAATAAGCAAAATTGTTGCAGTAATAATATGCTAAACACAAAGTACATCATCATCATCATCATCATCATCATCATAATATGTAATAATTGGGGAATGACAACATGTTCTCACCAAAACAGTTCGGTGTCCTGCCCAAATAAAAAACCACTCTTGAGATGTGCAGGGGATTCTACAAAGTTCCAAATAATAGTGAAGCGTTCTAATAATAATGATATTTTGAATAACATCATCATCAATGGTAATGTTGTCAATAACTAGAGTAATACATATTGAGCAGGTTTCACACTAGTAGTCATCTTTCTTTTCCGTTTTGAAGTAATTTGAAGCCTTCCAATAGTACATTTTGAATTTTTTTTAATATAAATTATCTGGATATGCTCTTTCTCTCAAGGTAATGGCTTGGTAAACAAATTTGCCAATTTGTCTTGGGCATATCTTTGATAAGTACAAATCCATCACAAACTTTTTTGTGCTTTTCTGTTTTTTAATCGGTAACACAATTTCATTGGTTGAATAAGATGAACATGTATAGAGATGTAAATGTAAAAATTGTACATGCATATTTTCTTTACGTTCTCAACTTATCCTAATGCAGAAACCATGGATGATATGCAAAAATTACAACAAATGCTTAGTCCTGTTTCAATTACAAGGTTGGCACTTGTTAGCTTTCGTGATGGCACACTAATATTATTTCAACAAAGACTGGAAGGTAATGTAAGGTGAACTGAAATATCAGTTAATAGAGCTGGAGCATGGAGTCATATGATCTCCCTGGGTGTTGTTGGCATGTTACTATTCTCAGCCTCTGCATTGGAATAGGGAACTGTTGTTGTAAAACAAAAAACAAAGGGATCCCAGAACGTAATGGACTACATCAGACATCCCGCAAGTCAAACTACACAGGAAACAAGTTGGATATGTGATTGCGTATAGCATGCCAGACAACATAGTGACCCATTAAGAACAATGTGCGAGTACATCTCCTATCATATTATTTAAAGATAACTTTTTCTGGGGTAGGCGAGCAGGGATTCAAATAGTGGACTATTATAAATGATAATTTGGCGCAAGTTATATTCTGGAGTACTCTTGGGTGTTCCAGTTAACCCCTAACATTTCGCATATGTATACACATGCAGGAGCATGTGCCAATGTATATTTATATATTATCTCTAGGTGAAATAGGACTCACCAAGAAGTCACAAACATGCACGCATGAATGCATGCACACATGTACATGTGCACGCCAAGCACGCACACACCTTTTGTACAAACCCAAAGGTCACCTAGTCATTCCATTACATGTTTCCCCAGTAATACTAGAGTACACTTAAGCAACCACAACAACCAATCCAGAAAAAGAACCCTACCCGGTTAATTCCATATTAAGTGCAAGAATCAATGCTTGGAATTCCCATCCCATGATTCAGATAACAGCATCAAGTAACAATATTAAAAAAGTCACGAGCAGCAATACAGAAAAGGATACAAACCACAAGAAGCAATCCAGAAAAAGAATCCCACCCAGCTAATCCACATTAAGTGCAAGAATCAATGCTTGTAATTCCCATCCCATGATTCAGATAACAGCACAAGGTAAGAAGATTAAAGAACTCAGAGAAGCAATACAAAAAAGGATACATATTTCATTACTGAAAAGAACACAATTTATTCTCAATATAAATGCAAGACAAGTGAACTTACGAAGCCAATACATTAGGGCAATACAAAAAAGGATACATATTTCATTACTGAAAAGAACACAATTTATTCTCAATATAAATGAAAGACAAGTGAACTTACCAAGCCAATACATTAGGGCAGTGACCACACGATTCATTCATATATTCTTTGAGAACTAACTAAGCATCTTAAAATCACACAAAACCTTTTTTTCCCGCTAAGTAAAACACCATTTCTCAAGTTGTGTGTGTCTTCCTTGCACAGGGGCCATGCTAATCTTCTCTATATTATTTTAATTTATCGGATTTGGAAGAAACAACCCACACAAAACCCAATATATGTGCCAGATTTCAAATGAAAATGGAAACACATTCCCAGTTTGTTTGCCAAAGCAAACAGCAGCAATAGCCATGGGAATATTAAGATATTGTTAAACTTTTCATTGAGCAATTCCTCAAATGTCCTTTTTCATACTCTTTAACCAGTTGATGACAGAACAAATGTCCTAAATTTCACCACAAAAATTAGTCAATTAAGTTGAAAGAGATAATTGAGCAGTAAGATACATTACCACTTCAATCTTTTAAGATTTTTACCTGAAAGAGTCCATGCTGCAGGAAAACTGGAGGGCCTGAAAGGGCATCTCTTGTATTTTGGCCGTGAGAAATACGTTGCACAGCTAACAGATAACCATCCTTTGTTTCAACCTGAAGCAGCATAATGAAGTTCAGTACAATCAAAATCATAGGAGAAACAATACATAGATACACATTCTTAGGGTATGCCATTTTTCAACTATTTTGCAACAAATATTGAGCGGCGGTTATCAGTTCTGACCATTCCAAGTGCAGAAAATCTGTCAGACAAAACATAGACTGAGGAATGCATAATAATCCGAATGATTAGCTAACAAAGATTGCAAGTAACTCAGTCCACCACCACAATCATAATTAGAACTTAGATAAAAACAAGTGATACCTGAAGTAGAAAATTCTTCCAAAGGTTATGTTTCTTTTTTTTCAATCATTTACTTTCGAATTTTACAATGTCAGATTAGTGAATTAATAGGTTACTTTCATGTTTAAAGACATAAACTCAAGCAAAAGAAAATTTGTCTTGATCATGAAACAATTCACTGATCCAGGCAGAAACTTCTGTTATCAGCATTGCGTCTTAATCATGGAACCATTCACTGAACCAGGCAGAAACTTCTGTTATCACCATTGCTTCCGAATGATCAAATGCCATGAGACCAACAGAGAAGAGAAAAAACATATCTTACTCTTATTGTAGTGCCAAAGAATTGAAACAAAAATTCAGAATGATTTAGTTAGAAGCTGTCTCAACTCAGTCAAGGGATCAAAGTGAAAATGCATATACTCAGCCTACCAATTATGACAAGACCAGAACCCCAGTACTGTTGAAAATCATTATGTTGGCCTTTTTAATAATCTTTGCAAGTTACTCAGATATATCTTTGCAATAACATAATTATCCTTTGTATCCATAGGAGTAATTATCTCATTATTCCACTCCTTTCTACATCTCATATATGCATATGGTTACTGATTAGATTCAATGGGTTCATCATTGCACAAGATTGCAAATGTCAAGAATATCTTCATACAACTGACATGCATCCCATGCAGGGATCATTTCTTCCTCTCACTTCAGAGTTTTTGTCAGATCTCAGACTTCATGCGAAGTTGTCTACAAATGGGAATATGTTGCCAATATTTAGAATCATTCCACTGTGTCCTTAGGCACCTTTCATGCAACTCCACTCTGGTAGACAACACGACAATACTAAAACTTTCTTTTGATTTCAATGTTAGCCGTGTGGAAGCATTGACCAATCTCCTAGGAAAGGTCTGTACCACTAGTATCTACATTGAATTCTTCTCAAAGTTCTAATTTTCAGCCATTCACAAGATCCAAGATTTTCCTTTTGCTCCGGATTCAGTATCCTTTGGCATGATTAAACAAATCCTTTTTTGTGATTAAATAAAATCTTTTTGGTGTCTAATTTGTCAGAGAGCTTCAAGAAGACTACCATCAAAAGGCCATCATTTTGACCATCTGCCTTCCCCTATCAACTGGAGATGAAGCTGGAGGTACAAAATATGAAGAGATTTGCAATTAAACTTAAGTCAGAAAGTCAGCTTATGTTGGTCTATAACATTTGATGAAAATATTATGATATTTTTGCAATTTTTATCCACACTATTTGCTGTGCAGGCACACTGATAGGGGAACTTTTTTGTGCGATGAACTTTCCCTACTAAACCATTTGAGATCAAACATTAGTTTTCCGGTATTATCTAAAATGATGAGATCTTTCCTCAATATGAGTTGTTTCGAGGGGAATGATGTAAAGGAGAGGATTTCATTTTTAGCATAGACGGATCATTTTACTCAGGAAGCTTTAATCATTTCTTCTTTCAAAACAGCTCCACTTCTCCTTTTGTCGTCTCCAAACACAAAAGCTTAGTTCTTTTGCGTGTTGTATGATTGCTTTTTTGGCTAGACTAAAATTTTCACTATGTGCATAATATCTCACTATACTTGAGGTAGGTTTTTAGCGAGTGATTTAATTGGAAGCATATTTAAGTTTCTTGACGCAAAACGTTTTTACCCATTCTGCTCAACGGCTCTTTTCTCTGCTTTTGTGAAAACCATGTATTTTGTACAATAAACTACTGAATTCCATGGAACCAAAACCATAAAAGTTAATAACAAAAAGCACTCAGTTTTGGTGTTGGCATCTCGATGGCTGAAATTATTACAAACCTCACTAATAGAAAGAAAAAATTTCATTAAACATCCATTTCACTGATCCAATTAAGTCAAAATAATTCAGAATTACAGGGAATCAAAAGAAAATAAAAATCTTAAAAAGAAAATGTTCACAATTAAAACAGGTACAACTATACAAAGAAATTACATAACATGAGAAAAGAGAGGAAGGACAGAGATTGAAGTACAGAAAATAACCAATGAACAATATTGAGAATCAAAATACAATTCACATACCCGGAGCGAAGGAACTGAAGTACAAGCATGGAAAAGAGAATCGAAAATGAAAATAAAAGCAATCGCAAAATAAATTCAGAGGAAGAGAACGGATAGAGAGGTTACCGTGTACTCCGAGCATGGATAACCTAGGGGAATAATTAACTGATGGCAGAGGCCATTTGCAGGATACTCAGAGATTAGAGTCTCGATTACGATCGAGTGGCAGAGCCCAAATAAGAGAACAAAAAATGCAGGGAGGAGGCAAACGCAGAGGGACATTTCTGTTCAAATTCTCCTCCCCAGAGTGATTGAAAGATAAGAAGTGGACGATGGGTGGTTTATTCAGTTGTCGTTAAAATATCTGTTGCTTGCTTTTTGAACGGCGGCATCAAAAATGTCAGATGGGCGACAGCACGTGTTGTAGGAGGTTCGAGGTTCCATTTTGCTGGTTTTGTTTACTAGTTTAGTCTAGCAGTCACTGATGTCGAGGACTGCTTAAGAAACTGGTGTCTTTGACCGTGGTCTGCATCTCTTTCCTGATCTGACCGTGCATCTCGTTCCTCTTATTCCTCTCTCTTTTTTCTCTCTCTCAAACTTTACTATCATTATCACTAAACCTTCAAAACTCCAAAACAGTTCGGGCCTATAATCCCCACTGGCCTATCTAACAAAAAAAATGTGCATATTGTCGCCCTAGTCTTTTCTTAAGCTCTTGCTCCGAGTCGCCTAGGTCCAATGGCCTCTGTATGACTTTTCCGGGCCTTTTCTTGGCGCTTTTGATCCTTGTATTTTTCGATCCAAAACCGCTACAAATCTTATAGATCTGACCCTTCTTTTTCTTTTGTAATCTACTGGAAGTGCCAGAGCTAAATATCACACCTACTAAATCTTTAATAATTGTTCATTCTAAACTAGACTAAGCAATCAAGAGATAAACATAAAACAAAATATCGTGCAGTGTCGCAAATGACGAAACTATTATTTTTCTAGATCCATAACCTTCTAACGGTAAGTCCAATTTTGATGATTTTTGGACCGTTAGAAAGCTATGACTTCAGGCTTCGATTTCAGGTTTTCGGTCATTGAATTGATACATGCGGTAGTTTACTACATTCATTAGGCTCATGAATATGTACGATGATGATCTTGGGGTATTAGGATATGTTTCGGGTGACTTTGGAACGACTCTAGGAGGTCTAAGTCCACTAGGCTCAATGTAGAACCTAGAACTAAGGCTTTCGGTAACCCCATTAGCCTGAATTTATGGGGGTGTCTACTCTGGTATATGACAAGATCTCTTAATCCTTTGGGAGGAGCCTAACTGCCCAATTTGTGGGAAGTATAAATGACTGCATTTGATGGGGTAAGCTCTTCATACATGAACCCCATCAGAAATTTTCGTATATGCTGTAGGTACCTATCTCTCCATTCAAAAAAATATTGGTGTTGGCATTTATGTTAGCCTTGGCACTTCAAATTGTTTGAATTCTATCTAATGGAGGGATCAAACAGTTAACTATGGTCTCTACAGAGTCATATGCCTGCATTAAGAGTAAAGAAGAAACGGAAGTGCATTAAGAGTAAAGAAGAACCAAGAAACCTGAGAGGCTAACTCCTCGGCTGACACCTGAGAAGCTAACTCCTCGGCGTCAATTTGTCTTCTCTTTCAATTTCGGTTGATGTAAGTTTGTTGCAATTTTTCTTTACAGTAATAAAGTTCTTCAATATTTGTACAAAAAAAAAAAAGAATTGGAAGAAACCTTAAAGGATTGGGATGGGGTGCCAATAGACTTGAAAGATTGGAAGTGGAAAGCATCAAAATAAAGGCTGGCAACCACAAAAGGGGGGTTATTATGAAAAGAAATGAAATACAGTGCCTCAAACTGTAACTACGGCACGGCAAAATGAGAATGCAGCAATAACCAATATCTAGCCCATTGTTGTAACCGTAATGAAAAACATATCCCACAAGTGATATCCAGGAAACCGGATCAAAGTGATAGGGTATTGTGGCTTGTCTAATAGGCTCCAAAGGTGCAACCCTTAGAGAAAAAGTTGCACTGAGTTCAACAGAGGCCAACACTAGAAACCGAAATTGCTTAACCTCGGTCAAACACACTCTAAGGGCAGATTGTGAGGTAAAATTTGCACAAGATTGACTACCAAATGACACTTAATTTCAAGTTTAAAGCAGCATGTTCTCTGATTTCTGGAATCCCAATTTCCGACGACTTTTCAAAATTGGATAAGCGCTCAAATGGTGACCAAATTGACAATTTTCATTGCAAAATGTTCGCAACAACATCCTATTCAATGTATGATAAATAAAATAATCTAAGGCTTAATGGAACGAACTACACGAAGATTTGAAATTTTCAAGTTTTGAAAGTTGACCTGAATTTTGGATCGTGATCGAAGAGTACAATTCGGACTTCATAATGCATATCAAAATGGTCGTGATGATTTGAATAACATTTCTACGACAATAAATCGTCCGAAAGATCACCGAAAAGATGGCAATGGCATGGGCCTTTTTGAGAGCGAATAATTTGCCATTTTTCACTTTCAACATAGGGAATTTACTTTTAATTCAAATTAATTGTAATTTTAGTTAATTTGAGTAACTTTTGGGCATGCACCCATGTTTTAGTGGATGTCTATATAAGCTTGTTAGTTCATTTTTGTAAGGACTCTTCAGACTTTTGAAATTTTGATCATTTTGAATCATTTGGCTTGAGAAATTTAAAATTGAATGAAGCTTGAGTTCTATTTTCTCTCAATTTTCTTGTTTCAAAGGTGAGAAGAGAGAATACTTTGGTTAGAGAGAGAATACCCATAGGAATCTAGGCTTCCAACCCCCAAAGTTCTAACTCCTAAACTTTTGACGCCAAAAGTTTTAGACTGTCAACTTCCGAACCAAGCACTCTGACCCGGGTTCGCAACTAGGTGCACGGTTCTCTTTCTCTAACTTCTCTCTCATATTTCTCTCTCCTCTCCCTCGGGCATGCGGCCTAAGCCTTGGGCTCACTCCCATTTCTCTCTTTCCCCTCTTCTTCTCTCCCCTTCTATTTCTCTCTCTCCCTCTTCTTTTCTCTTTTGCTCTCTCTTCTTTTCTCTTTCACTCTCACTTCTTTTCTCTTTCGCTCTCACTTCTTTTCTCTCTTGTCTCTCTCTCCTGTCCCTCGAGCCTGCGGCCCGTTCTTATTTCTCTCTCCTCTTCTTCTCTCTCTTCCTTTCTCTCTCCTTCTTCCTTTCTCTCTCATTTTTCTCGCTCTCCTCCTGCCTCTCACTTTCTCTCCCCTACCTTCCTCTCTCTTCCCCCTCTCCCTCTCTTGAGCACGTGACCCAAAGCCCCGTGCCCATCTCTCAGTCTTTCTATCTTTGTCTCTTCCCTTCACTCGGTCCCTCTTTCTCTATCCCTTCTCTTGGTCTCTCTTCTCTCTCTCCCACTCTCTCTCCTCTTTCTCTCTTCTTCTCTCCTTCTCTCTCTCCTCTGTCTCCTTTTTCTCTCTTCTTCTTGCTCTCTCTACCACATCTGGCTCTCTCTCCTTCCTTCTCTTGGGCCTGCGACTTAGAGCTGCATGCCACGTTCTCCCTCTCTCTCATGTCTTGATTCTGGCGATTGCTAAACTTGTCACTTTAAACTTGAAATTAAGTGTCATCCAGTCTCCAATCTTGTGCAAATTTCACCTCATAATGTTCCTCTTTGTCTCACGGTAGCAATGTGCCAATTTTCAAGATGATCCGATGCCAAGATATCAAGATATGGCTATTCGATCAAAGTTATCTCCTTATTTTTAAAATTCTGCATCACGGGTTTTTTAATTCAACTTCTCTGACCTAAGACTTGATGGATCAGACTACACGAAGATTTGAAATTTTCAAGTTCTCAAAGTTGGCTGTAATTTTGGATCGTGATCGAAGAGTACAATTCGGACTTCATAATGCATATCAAAATGATCACGATGATTTGAGTAACATTTCTACGGTAATAGATCGTTCGAAAGATCGCCGAAAAGCCTCCAAATTGACCCCAAAGGATCGCAATGGCATGGGGCTTCTTTGAGAGGGACTAATTCGTCATTTTTCACTTTCTTCATAAGTTTATTTTGGTCATTTTGGCAAAAAGCGAGAATTTACTTTTAGCTCAAATTAACTGTAATTTTCGTTAATTTGAGTAACTTTTGAGCATCCACCCATGTTTTAGTGGATGTCTATAAATGCTTGTTAGTTCATTTTTGTAAGGACTCTTAAGATTATTGAAATTTTGATCATTTTGAATAATTTGGCTTGAGAAATTTGAAATTGAGTGACGCTCGAGTTCTATTTTCTCTCAATTTTCTAGTTTCTACGGTGAGGAGAGAGAATGTTTTGGTTAGAGAGAATACCCCTAGGACTAAAGGCGTCCAAATCCCAAAGTTCCGACTCTCAAACTTTCGACTCCAAAAGTTTCAGACTCCCAACTTCTGAACTAGGCACTCAGACCCAGGTTCGCAACTAGGTGCACAATTCTCTTTTTCTCTCTCTTCTCTCTCTCGTCTCTCGTGGGCTCGCAGCCTAAGCCGCGGGACCACTCCCATTTCTCTCTCTCTCTCCCCTTCTCTTTCTCTTTCCCTGTTTTATTCTCTTTCTCTCTCACTTCTTGTCTCTCTCGTTTCTCTCCTCTCCCTTGAGCCCATAGCCTAGGTTGCGGGCCCATTCTCATTTCTCTATCTTTCTCTCTCATCTTCTTCTCTCCCTCTTCCTTTCTCTCTCTCACTTGTTCTTTCTCTCACTGTGTCTCTCTCTTTCTCTTTGCCCACCTTCCTCTCTCTTCCCCCTCTCCCTCTCTCTTGGGCATGCAGCCCAAAGCCACGATCTCATCTCTCTCAGTCTTCCTTTATCTCCTCCCCTCTACTCGATCCCTCTTTTTCTCTCTCTCCTCTCGATCTCTCTTCTCTCTTGCTCCCCCTCTCTCTCCTCGTTCTGTCTTCTTCTCTCTCTTTCCCCCTCTTCTCTCTCCTCTTTCTCTCTTCATGGGCCTGCAGCTTGGACCTGCAGGCCACTCTCTCTCTCACACAATCTTTGCATCTCTGTCCCCTTTGTATGCCTTCTCCCTTTCTCTACGCTCTCACACAAATCTCTTTCTCCTCCCTTCTCTTGGGTATTCGACTTAGAGCTGCAGCCCACGTTCTCTCCTTCTCTCTCTTTGTCTTTCTTATTTTCTCTCTTTTCTCTCCCACGTTCTCTCTTTCTCTCTCTCTTATTTTTTCTCTCTTCTCTCTCACACAATCTCTCTCTCCCCTGTCTGCTTTCTCCCTCTCTTTGATTTCTCTAAAAAAACTCTCTCTCTATGCCACATCTCACTCTCCCTCTCATCCCTAACTTCTCTCTTTCCTGTTCTTCCCTCTCTCTTCACAGGGTTAGAGCCATTGGTCATGCTCTCTCTCCTATCTTATTTATCCCTCTCTCTTCTCTCTTATCAATCTCTCTTCTCTCTTCTCATGTCTACGCTCTCTCTCTCTCACTTTCGCTCTCTTTATCTCTCTCACTCTCTCTCCCT